CTTGGTGCAGCGTTTAACAGGGAGCTGCTGCCTCTCAGCTTCCAAATGCCAATCCACGCCCTGAGCCAGCAGGAGTGTCACCCTTGATGGCTGGGCTTGCGGGGTGTTCCCAGGACACACATTTTTGCAGAACTCGGCAGGTTCCTACAGAGACTGCCCAGCCCTGGACTGTGCTGGTGGGTGGCAGCCCCTTTGTACCTGAAGCAGCCATCTCACACACCTCCCCTCAGCTGAAGTTCAACCCAAAAATGTCTTCCTGCCCCAGTCACACTTGATCCTTCTCAATGCCACAGCCCTGCACCCAGCTGGCTCTGCAGGATTCCACACTGAACGTGGTCACATGTCACCCTCCCCATGTGTCAAGGCTACCTCTGGCCTTGAGCAGCAGTGGGCTGGGGGGATCTGTGGTGGCTGACCTTTATCCATGTGCTCTATAAATCATGATGCCGTTGCAGGAAGTCCCAGCACCCAAGTTCTTCACGTACAATACTGGTTCTTCTCTGCACCAACGCTGTCTAGCAGCTTCTCCTCCATTAACAAGTTGGGTAAATACTTGCACTTTTCACAGCATTAATAAAATAATAAGATCAGTCCAGACAGTTACCTTAAAATGAACTCATACTCCAAAATGCAGAGAATCAACAAAATGATCTGAGGGATGCAGCACCTTTTCTACAAGGCAAGGGTGAGAGAATTGTTCAGATTATAAGTCAAATTGATGCTGACTCTGATAATACAATTAATCAGCTCTTTCTCCAGAAATGCCCAAGCCTGATGCTTTTCAATGACACACACACTATCAGCTGTCCCATCCTTGGCTTACTTGGTGCAGCTCAATCCACACCCCACCTGCTAATCTCAGCCTTCAAGGATGACAGGAACTACTCTCACTCCCTCTTCATGGACAAGCAGACAAAATAAAATGATACCTGCAAAGATTCTTGAGACTTCTACTCTCCCTCATTCTATTACAAGCTGCTCTGAAACAGGCTGCCAGGTAAAACCCTGATGAATAGCAGTTGATGTGGACTTTAAAGGGTGGGCGCAGGCCCACGTGCTCCCGGTTATCTGCGGAACAACACGCTCCTCACGCACACCACAGACACCCCCTCGCACTCAGTGCCTTAAAACAGGCAAGTGCAGAGCAAAAAGAGCAATGTCACACATGTTTTGAGATCTGGTACCCAAGTAAGAAGAGAAATGGTCACAGCTGCAGGCTGCTTGTCAGATCTGAAGAGCCAGAATGAGATACTGAATGAGACAGCAGGCCCTAAAGTGAGGTGTTAAGACTTTAAATGCAGCACCACAAAGTCTTCCTTCATTCATGAAAATTCAATTTGTCTTTTTCACATTGCAGAGGAGTTAAAGGTCTCCTGACTTTTAAAAAAAGCAATGAACATTTTCATTTTCTTAAGGTTTTGGGGTTGGGGGTGTTTCTTTTGGGTTGGGGGGGTTCATAGTTTGGTTTTTATTTGGTTTTGGGGTGGTTTTTTTGGTCTTTTGCGGGGGGAGCATCCTCCTTGCTATTAGATTGCAACTTTTTATTTCATGTATCTGTACTTTCCTTCTTAATATCAAGTATCTTTCTCACAAAAAGGTGTCCAAAATCAAGTTTTCAAGTTTGAGAAATATGTTTGAAAATGGCACAGCCAGCTGCAGTAGAATTATAGCTTTATAGATAATTTTGTTGAGAATTGCAAACCCAAAAATTATATTCATCAGCTACCTGAATAAGCATCTGAGGTTTTCTGAATTTTAAACACTGAAGGGAAAAAGTTTGATGTGATTGTGAAGGTAGGTAGCATTCCACAGAGGAACACAGTACTGAAAACTCACCACAAAGGTGTTTTGGTTATTGGTCCCTTCCAAAATGCCAGCTTACCAAACAGTATTCACCCACATGAGCACATGCAGAAGAAACATGACCAATATACTAATAATAATAATAATAATAATAATAATAATAATAATAATAATAATAATAATCCTTCCTACTGCACATATTCAAGTAATAAGTTATCACACTATTTCACAAGCACAAAACTCAAGGCACCACAACAAAGTATTATTGCTCAAACACGGACACCTCTCCAGACCAATGTATTTCAGAAGCAGGATACATGTAGATTTGGGGCTTTTTCAGTCCCATAGGAAACAAGTACTTGCAACCATCATCCTGCAAGCCAACCAGCATTCTTCCCAGCTGGGCTTCTTCACAGTGGACCAGAGCTCCCTTCACATTTTTCAAGGACTTGTATTCATAAAGCCTGCTGCAGAGGACAGCTCCACTGTTTTCCCATTCCCATATCCCAGCAGTGTGAGGCTCTGTCCTTAGAAAAGTGCCAGAGAGGCAACTACCACACCAGCCATGCGGAGGCCAAGGCCAGGGCAGCAGCGTGTTTCCTGACTCTCTATCCCAACAACTTCACCTGTGAGAAGCCCACAGCAAAAAGCCTAATTTAGTTAAAGCCTGATTTTTAACTTGGCTGTTTTCAAGCTCCTTGGTTTTCCTGAAAACCACAACCATACTGTGTTCTCAGTCACCACTTTCACATTTCAAAATTCATCTGGTTTTATTTCTACAGTACCCACTTAAAAGAGCACATGGATTTAGTGACAGCAAATTAGTACCAAGATTAAGAGCATCAGTCTCTAGAAAAAAATGCAGCTACCAATATTTGAGATAATACACAATTACTATAATGCACTAAGATCTACCTGAAGCATCTAGATCCAAGTTCTACATCTTACTTTCCTCGTCTCTTTCAACAGCCATTTTGCACCAAAAAAATGTTCACATAAAAGTTCTCTGAATGTATTAAAAGAGGGGAGAGGATGGACAGGCAATCATTTGCACACACACCTAAGAGAAAGTTAAAAATATGGTTTATTTGAAACAGTGAAACCAAAATCCAATAAATAAACCGTTTAATATCAACACTGGACACTATGTAGGAAAACTGGTAAGACTGGATTGTTCCCTTGGTGCCCCAAGCATGGATGAACCATGAAATGACTTCCCAGCTCCTCACAGCCACGCTGCTCTCTCTACAATCTTTCCCCATTCATGGCAAGCCTTCCCCAGATGCACACTGCCAAATTCCCATCCTGGAGTCTCACCAGAACCAGCAGAACCACCATAAAGATGACACGGCTCACAGGGCAGAGGCAGTAGGAGCAAGAGCAACTGTCTACATTTCAGGACTTCCAGAGAGCATTCCTCTTCCTCACTCACATTCCTCTGAACAGGTTTCATGAACTGTGTGCTATGGCCAAGTATATTTTATTTTTTAATTTTTAATGAGCTATAATGAGGCTATAAGAACACAGTTTCTTAATCATTTTTTGGGGTGGCGTGCAACTGATCCTATAAATATTGTTTATGTTTGTTTAACACTGCTATTAAATCACTAGGTTTTTCCAAATAGCAGTAACCGTGTTACATACACATTGAAACTCTTTGATGCAATAAATATGAAAATATTATGATTTTATCCAAAATAGAACTCCAAACAGCTTATAAAGCCTCAGGCAGGAAGTCACAAAATTCTGCTAAATGTGTCATGCCGTTTCAGAAACAGCAATAATACATTTTGTATCTGCTTTAACAAGTTCCTACAGCACAGGGCAAAAGTCTACTGACTACCTTAAAAATAGAAATCAGCTTGGGCATATCACCCTTTCCTTTTAACACTGGCACAAGTGAACTTTGTTTTTTTCTTCTGAGAAAGGAGGGTGGGGAGAGGGGGGTGAAGAGGAAGAAATAAAACCAATGCATTGTACAGGTTATTTATTATGTAACTGGCTGTTGGTACTGGAGGCACTCCTACACAAGCCAGATGAAAACAAGCATAACCAGAAAGGACAGCACTCAAGGCCTCGATGTGGCCACCGGTTTGTGCTTCAACTCAAGTGAACCTTCCCAACAGCTCTTCTGTAATCTGCAACAGAGATGTCAGTCCATACTGAAGGTAAGTCTCTCTGGCTTTATACTGCTGTGATGCTCTCTACAGGCCAACAAGAACCAATTACTACATGAATATCATGGGCTCGAGTACTCAGCAATTTAAAGTCTTGATGCTGCAAATTCATCCAGGTTCAGTTTGTACCATTTCTGACCCAAGGGACTTCAAGCCAGGGATCTAATTTGCAGGGGAGTAGGCTCTGCTCAGTTACTGCTCCATAAAACAGCAGTTTAAAAAGTCAGATTTTTCACCATATTTGGGTGATATTTGGATAGGGCTTCTACACTTAAGTGACATGCACAGAGGCCATATACTCTGTGTATCAAAGTAATCTGACACTCTCCAAAGCAGCTGTGTTTTTTGAAAAAGAAAATAAAATAAATGCTGCTTTGAACAACAGGAAAACAACCAGGCTTTAACACCAAATGAAAAGGATAAACACCTCTGGTTAGCAAGATCTATTTAACAGATAACACAATCATTTCATCTCAGTTCACTGTAACACTCCAATGGGCACCCAAAAGCCCCTTATGTTAATACACAGCAGGAATCACAGATCACCAGATTTAACTGGCACAGGTATTCTGACCGAGGAAAAAAATCACAATGCCATGTATTTCACACCTACCAGAACGCTGGGAATTTGGAAGGGCAATGGATGTAATGGCCGCAATCACTGCTTCAGTAGATAAACCAGAAACAGGTCAAAAATATCAGGACTTAAAAATACAAATAATCAAATTAATCTTTTTCACATAGTTTACCTTGTTATTTTAAACCACATTACACATTTTATTACTTAGAAAAGACGACACTGCATAAAAATAAAATAAAATAAAATTTGGTTTTAACAAGGACAAGGGTTTTACATGACAGTATAAAAAATGTAATAGGAGCCTGAAGGGGAAGAAAAAGAAATGGAAGTGGAACAAAAAAAAACAAACTCCCCCCAAAAAAACCCTACAAAACAAACAAACAGAACAAAAACCAAACCAAAACAAAAAAAGAAACAAAAAAAAACAAACAAACAAACAAACAAAAAAAACCCCCAAATCAAACAAGAAAAAAAAAAAAAATCCCCACAACACTACCCCCAGGAAAGGGAAAAAGCTAAAACAAATTCCAGATGTTTAAGTCTGAAGGTTTTAGCTTTTAAAATACACAACTACGTGTGCCTTTCACAATAACAGTCACAAGTGAACGATACTTTTTGTATTACTGCACCCTTCAACAGGCCAGTCTGCAAATTAAAACAAACAATATAATAAACTGCTAAATTATAAGTATGCAATTATGGATTGCTTTTAGCTATTATAAAAAGCTGGGTTACATATCCAATGGTCCATCTTTTAAATTCAAACTGTGCTTAATGCTTTTCAGTTCAGACATACTGAAACCCAGCAGCACAGATGGTTTGTGATGTTTTATTGCCTTTAAGCATGTATTTCTCATTTTTCCAAAGAATGATGCAACATCAATTTTCCACGCATATAGCAGCAAGGAAAGTAATTCCACCTCTTTTTTAGAAGGATATGGCCTCTTGTGAAAGTAGTCTGACAAAAACTGTTTCTGTGCCTCATATGAATTGTGATCATACCGATTAGGATCTACTGCTAGAAAGCGGAGATCCTCACTAGAAGGAAGTTTTCTCAACTCAGTCCTAATCTTTTGTCGTTTAAAAGGCACTACCCCTGAATTTACTTCATTCTCTGCAGACAGAGCTATGCCAGTACTTAAGCTCAGAGGCTGCTGTTCCTTATTCCTTTGGTCTTCTGCAACAAAGCAGGAATCTGATTGCTTTCTTTTCAGTACCACAGAAAGATGCTTCTCACCATTCACAAACAGCAGCTCTTTCCTCTCAGTACGCTCAAGCTGCATCTTCAGGCTCGAGTTGCTGTCTTTGGGAGCACTTCTACAACGGAGCAAATGTACAGCAATAGCTGTCAGAGTCATATTTCCAGTGTACACACCACAACAGTGGATGCACTTGAAAGCAGGAGACTTTAAGATCGTATGCACAGTCGGCATTATATGATGCCTCTCTTTCAAATGCTTTTCATAGGTCTCTCTACCAGCAAACGTACCTAAGCAAAAGGGACAGGTGAACATTTTTCTGGTGCATCTCCTGTTCACTTGTGCTGTCTGAGGTTTCACTTTGATGTAAACAGGGACAAGAACTGTTGAATATATTCCAACAAGCACTGCCAAATGTACTTCTCTTTCACCCATGTCTTCATCTGGTAGCACTGTGTTGAAATCAAAGTGTGGGAACAAAAGGCCACCCTGAGCATCATTACCTAGCTGAATTCCTCTGTTCCTGTAACTCGCATGCAACTCCTTTCTCCCATTGTGTGCAGTTTTGTTGTGCTCCACGAGGCTTTTTAAGTCATAGAAAGTACCTGTGCAAAACAAGCAAGATAAGCCATGCATGAAGATATGCTTCATGAGCTCCTCCTCACAGAGAAAACACTTACAAGCGTTACACCGGATCGCCTTTTCTGTCATCCTCAGAAATGATGCGCAAGCTGCAAGTTTGTGAGGTTCTGGGGCTTCCACTTTTACTTCAAGTGGTTTGTGGGCCACCTCCATGTGCACCTCGTAGACATTTGAGGGGAAAAGCTCATTGCAAACAGGGCAGGTCTTCCACTGTTTGGCCTGTCTGACAGCCTGGCTTGTTTCAGGAGCAGGCGGGGAGGTCTGCAAGGATACATTGTCAGAGGTCAGAACCACAGGAGGAGAGGGAGCATTGGCTGGCGACTGGGACAGCTGAGCCACTGACCCGGTCTGCACGAGCTGGATGGGCACCTGTGGAGGTGTCACGGTCGCTACTCCACCACCGGGAGGTACAGGCAAAGTAACAGAGACGGGGGCCAGTGTGAAAGTAGGTATCCCATTAACCTGCTTGCCAGTGGGGATCAACTGCCTCAATATAGAGCCCGCAGTCAAAAAAGCCGTGCTTTGAGAAACCGGAGGCTGAACAGGCTGATTTACTGGGATAAGCGCTGGCGCAACAGGTTGATTAAGCTGAAGGAACCCAGGTCCAACAGGCTGTCTGACAGGAACCACCCCAGGGGCAAGAGGCTGGTTAAGCTGGAGAAGACCGGACCCAACTGTCTGCGTCACAGGAAGGACCCTGGGATCCACAGGTCTGTTCATGTTCCCAAGAGACTGGGTAACAGACAGAACTCCTGGAGCAACTGGTTGATTCACAGGGCCGACAGGCTGAGTAGCAGGGAGCGTTCCAGCTGGAACCAGACTGTTTATAGTCCCAATTGTTTGATTAACAGGAAAGAGCCCAGGCCTGACGGGCTGATTAAGAGGAAGAACCGCAGGGGCCACAGCTCTATTTATGTTCCCAACAGAATGATTAAGACGGAGCCCATGAGAAACAAGGACAGCCTGCGAAGGTGACGGCTGAATACCCAGGTTGTTCTGAGCCACAGGAGGATTGCTGGGCACAAGAGCAACCTGCGAGGATGGAGTAGCAGGAGCACAGGCAGTTTTTGGGAGGCTGCCAGAGGCACTTGGGACAGTCACTGGTCCAACTGTGTTCTGAACTGCTTGTGTGTGCACCATGCTCTGGTTTTGATTATTCTGTGGAAATGCAACCTGGATGCACGATGGAGCTCTCACAGAACCTGCTGGGACAACAAGAGGCCCTGTAGATGGGGCAGCTGCTGCTACACCTGGGACAGGCTTTGGAGCAATATGCATTTGTTTCACAAGTCCAGGTTTCCTAATGTGTTCCGAAATCAGAGATCGAAGTTTGTTCTCCAGGTCTCTGTGTGTTTCAGCTGTCAAGACATGGTATATTAAAGAATCTGGGCTGTTGGCAGGAGCATTGCATTTTTTACAGTAGAACTCAACTGAATTCAGTGTACTTTCATCACATTTCTCGCCAAAATATGCACTTAGTAAGTTTTCAAAATGGTTCATCAGCACATGTTTCTTCATATTGTAATACAAGGTGTCTGTGAATTGACATTTTAGACACGTGAAGTTTATGATGTCACTTCTAAACTGTTTCATGCCATCCAAAATGCTGACTGTATAGTTCTGTATTCGTTTATTAAATGAATGAAACATCCAGTAGTGTTCTCCCACTACTCTGGGCCGAGAAGAAAATGCACATTTTGGGCAAGAAACCACCATCTCTTGGTCCATTTCATCCTCATGGTAACGATGCAAGTGATTCTTGAAAGAAGTAAGCAATTTGGATGAGAACTTGCACAAGCCACAGCAGTACGGCTTTGTTCTGTATCTCTGCAAAACAAAGAAAAACATCCACTTAGAAACTGTCAGTTCCTATGCCACTGTTACCTGTTTAAATCTGCACTATCAGCTGTCAGAAATGCCTTCACTGGATGTACAGCATGTATCTTCTCAGTTTCTTCTGGTTTTTAAAAGCAGATTTAAAGATTACATACTTAAGGGGAGAAACATTTGTGCACCTTTTTTGTTGTATTATAATTTACTAAGAAGCCTTACATGAGTTTACTTCTACTCTAGTTCACAAGAAGTAATTCTGAAGCCTGTCTGTTTTTAAATACAGCAATCACAGAACAAGACAGAAATATATACTATATACAGAAGTTAAGCATTAGGAATACCACCCCTTTTATTTTGACACCTTTAAAGCTTTGTTTAGTTCAGGGACAGCTCCTATCTACTGGACAAAAATACAAAAAACAGAACAGGAAAGGATTTTTTTTCTGTATTTCAACAGCCTATTCTTTGCTGAAAACTCTCCAGACCTTCCCAACAAGGCCATAAACAAAGATTTTTTAAAGAACATTCTTTTGGAGCCAAAATAATAACAGGAAGTAGTAAAACCTCCTGTTATGATAAAACAGAGATGTATTAACTCATACATACAATTTCTATTAACTCATACATACTGGGCATCATAGAATTTTTTTTTTGTGAAATTTCCTCGAAAACACTCAGTATAGAGCATACACACTCCTCTCAGAAAAGTATTTTAACTGCTTAAGAACACATCTATCTTGCACTAACCAGTGATTTGCTCCCTCAGTTATATGTCACATGACAGCACTGCTTTTCATATTCACATGAGCATCATTTGTTCTTTCTGAAAAACTGGTAGCCCCATCAACCATTTTTTCTGATCAACTTCCTAACCCTGGCTCCTGCCAAAAACTACAGAATCAGTCACAGCAACACACATGTGACAAATCTGCACATTCAAAAATCTAGTGGAATCTGTCTGCTCCCTCAGACATGTTTTTCACCTCACTAATTTCTGCCCTCACGAAACAGAACCCAAAGAGAACAAGCTGTTCTGCCACTACAGCACCCAGCCCAGTTAGATCACAACACATGCATGCATTTTTTTTTGTCATGTCATAAACCATGCAGGTTACAGTCAGCCATCTACAGACAACAGACAGCCATCTCCTAGCAGTACCAGGAGTATCCATGCTGGGTATCCCCCAGCCAGGGAATAATGTGCTCTGACTCCATGATTCAGAAGGCTGAACAAATGCTTTATTAAGCTATATTATACCACATTCTACTACTACGCTAATACTATACTAAACTATACTATACTAAAGAAAAACCCATGACCCTTCCCAGACAGTCACGACACAGCTTTGACCCAAATGGTCAATCAGTCCAAACAACCATCACCAGAGTCCAATTAACAAATCCATTTCAGTAAACAATCTCCATAACACAATCCACATGGGCCAAACAACAGGAGCAGCAACTAGAGATAAGAATATTTCCTCCTTCTTTCTCTGAGCTTTCTCAATGCCTTGCCCAGGAAAAATCCTGGGAGAGAGAATTATGTCTCTCTCTGTTCAGAGAATGTGAATACCACACTAGGAGAGTCTCCTGATGATAACCAACTCAAAAGATTGAGTCAGACAATGCCACTGGCTGGCTAAGGCTGCTGAAGAAGCACACTGCTAAGCTATCACTGAATTATCTTCTATATATACTCTTTAGGTGCCTAATCTTAGCTGCTAGTAAACAGCAACAAAGCAAATTAGCAGATGCATCGATCTTGAAGTATCCTGTCTAGAGAAAGGCCACTGACACTAATGAACTAATGAAGCACACAGAACATTATTGGAAGATACACCTCACTACTTCTGAAGGAATAAAATGACAAAGGAAAAATTCCAAACAATTCTCTTTCAGCTGAACGGAAGCAGATGGAAGTATGCTGCTTTGATATTCTCTGTATGAAACAGAGCTGCTCTTCCACACAAACACTTCACAAACCATCCTGCCAGCATGTTCTCCTTGCATGCTTTCTCTGTTTTTTCTGTTCACCCATCTGCTTTTTCAGGTTCACCACAATCTACCAATGGCATGCCAGTTTTATACAAAGCTTGACAAAATAAGAATTATAAGCCACTTAAGAAAAACAAAGCATCTTGGAGATTGACCAACCTTCAACTGTATAAATGGAATCCAAAATACGGCTTATTTTTAGATATTTTATTCTTATTTTATTGTTAGAGACACTGCAGTAAACTCAGTTAACTCTTCTTTAAAGAACCTACCCAAGAACACAGTAGTACTTTCTGTTGTGTAGTCTCACATTCCCCACAACCTAGAATCATGCAGAAAGGCAGAACATCCTTCAAAAACCAAAGTTCTGCCAGAACTGTTAATATCTCTCTAAAAATAGTACAAACGGTGGAAACCACCAACTGCACTTACACAGACATCTTCTCCAGCCTACTGAGTTTACAGGAGGCAACAATTTATTTTCCCCTTATGGCAACAACTTTGGAAAAGAACATCCTGAAAGACCAGCTTCTTTTCTCCCAAATCTAGGCAGCATGATATGTGAATGATATACATCAATAAACCAAAATTGTTTAAAGAAAATGGGTAAGAACAAGGTTAGTATCCAAAAGACACAGTTTGGAACACAACCTGTTCTGCAGCAATGTGTTATCAATTCCACACTGAATTTCAATGATAGGTCTTCCATAAGAAGGCCATGAGGGGCCTCAAGACTCTTCAGCAAGACTGACAAGTCTATGTTCTTTTCTGGACACACTCTGTTGTGGTGTGTTGCAATGTCCGGTTTTAAACTTCCGGGGCCCTTCCCATGTGTACCTATCCCTTCTCCCTTCCCCCTCACCCCTTGCTGAGTGTGCCCTGTCAATCAAGCTAACATACCAGCAAGGCGTCGTGTGATT